AGCCTTCAGGATCCTCTCCAAGCTGGTCAGTGTCTGGCAAACCGCTACGCAAGTCAACCTCCTGTGCCAAAGCCCCAGGGGCTTGGTTCGGGGGTTGGCCCGCTTGCAGTGCGGCCATTATCTGACGCTCCGTGGCGGAGAGATGCGCTAACTCATCTCCTGAAGGCTCCTCGTTTCCCGACAACGAGGGGCCACCCGGTTGTGACCCCTGGGAATCAGCACCTGAGTCAAAGAAACCGGTAGAATTTGGACCGATGGCACCAATGGCCTGCTGCGGTATCTGACCGGGCATGCCGATGGGTGAGGTGATGCTGCCGAAACTTGGCTGGCTCTGCAAGCTATGAGCACTGGAGTGGTGTTGTAGGCCAGGTTGCTGCTGGCCCTGGAATCTACTCATCGCTTGTTGGCGCATGACGAACTCCCTCTGTTGGGCCATCAGGTACTGCTCCTCCTGCTTACGACGCTCCAAGTTATTTTGCTCCTCGGCTGTCAGGGTTCGTCCGAAGCTGGGGAACACTCCGCTGAGTGGTGGCACGACGCTTCCGGGGGCTGCGCCTGGGAACCCAGCCGCTTGGGACGGCGGGCCATGGGGGATACCGACCTGTGGAACCAAGAAGGGCTCACGAGAGTTTCCTATGCGTCGAATGAGCTGTCCTAGTGGTTCAAACTCCGGATCTTCCACCTTCTTCACTCTCAGGTCGGGCGTGAAGAAGTGAGCCTTGTACCAGTCGTTCATCTCCAGGCCGGTGAATGGACCTTGGATTTGACCCTGGGGGTCAAGGTATACCCATCTCATCCGATCTGGCATAACCATGGTGCGTGCCTGTGCTGAAGGAGGCTCAACCACATTTTGGCCAACGCCACCAAAGTTCATGCCTCCACTCACAGGAGTGAAGGATTGCGGAGCTGTGGAAGTGCCACCAGGCTGAACTGGTTCTGCCGAGCCATACAAGGCCTGAGATCGGCTTGCCTCGCTCGAAGGGAAAAGCTCCTCGAAAACTCCACGGTTGGATCGCATCGGGCTCTCCGTGTCTCGGATGGGACCCGGAAAGTTGCTGCGGCCGATGGCGCCAAGAGGGTTGGCTTGTCGAAGATCGGGGCCCGAGTCGCCGAGGCCCTCATGCTCGTGAGACTGCATCTGCGCTTGCATAGCGGCAGGGAAAAGAGATCCAAGCTTGCTTCCGCGACCGATACTACCAGTGCCGATATTGCCAGCTGGCCCAAAAACGTTGTTGAGGTTACCCAAAGTGGGTGATTGAATATCGTTCATCGAGTTGAAAATGGCTGGTGAGAAGGCAGCCCCAGGGAAGTTGGCACGTTCTCGATCTGGTGTACCGCTGGGGCCAGGTGCTCCCCAGGCTGACATGTGGCTGATAGGGAATCCTTTTGCACTAGATGTTTGACTACGATCAGCCCCTTCAGACCCTGGACCGAAGCCGCGTTGCTGCAGAGGATTGAAACCGGATGACTGGTCGAGAGGAAAGGGGATGGGTTGTTTCGGTCCGTTCGATTCATCGTCATCCTGACCATGACGTTCAGCTGGAGGGCTACGGTATGGATTTGTCTCGGAAGGGCTCACTGGGTCATTCTCGTCGCCCAAGTTGAGTCCAGCCATACCAAAGTCGCCAGTCGAGCCCTTGACAGGCGTGCCTAGGGTTCCGACACGACCAGTCTGCGAGATACTGGCTGCAGTATCTTGAGCACCACCGAGAACAGCACTGCCAGACAGGCCATCTTCACCAAACGGGTCCGTGTCGGTTCGTTGGCGAGAACGCCAGGATTGTTGATTAGCAGTCCCCTGGCCCTCGCCCTGTCGGGTTTGTGCAGCTTCAGCTTGATCCTTGGGGATTAGATGCGCGAGACGACTTCCACCTACAGGACCTGCAGCAGGCTTCGTGCCGACAGCAGCGCTGCCTATTGCAAAATTGCCAAAAGATCCGCCGCTCGGAGTGGTTGGGGTCGACGCAGACCATATTGAACCCATGCCTGACGTCCCTCCAGTAGTGTTGGCCCGGATCAGGTTTCCAAATGGCAGCTTGTTTTGCGGGTCACGAGGGCCCTGGTCCTCTGCAGACTCGTCCACCTCCGCCTCCTTGATATCGGTGCTCCTGCGGGAATACCAGAAAGAGTCGTCGCGATTTCTCGTCGTCGTGGGTGAGTTGAGGCCACCGGGGCTGAAAGGGTTCGAGTCTAGCGTTTCTCGTCTGCGGGTGCCGGGTCGGGTTGCAGATGATGGTGAGCTCACGGCGAATGAGTTGCCCGATCCATGCGAAAATGATGGTTTCCGACCATTCACGGCTCCTGGGTTATTCGTATTGTTGTTCCCCGTTGGGGGTTTGAGAGGCGAATTGATTTCCGTCATAAATGCCTAACGAGCGGTGAGCTTTCGTATCCTACCTGAGATATGGGGGGTGGAGAAGGACACACCTCTTTTTCGTCCGAAGTCAAACCCTGATGTCCCATTGGTGTGCTCTCCCCGTTCACGTCCCAACAGGCACCAGGCTCTTGTGGAACGTGGTTCTCGTTACTCTTTCCCCATGCCCTGACGGCGCCGCCATTCACGTGGCCTGGATTCCAGCCTTGCATGAAGAGGTGCGAGGGGTCCTCGCTGATCCTTTGCGGGCGATACATATCTAGCAAGTCCTCCTTACTATATCGTGCAGGACTCAGTTCTACCGCTGACGGTTCGGCGCTGGGGGGCTGGACAGCGTTGTCTACCGGTGCTGGCGTCTGGGATGATTGGCTGAGCGGTGTGGTCGAGGAACGGCGCAGGGTCAAGGTGCCATTCGCTGAACGTCCATCCCTACGAGACCTGGTGGCAGAAGTCAGCACATATAAATACGGGCGTGCGTGTGCGAGGAACCGGCAGAGCAGAGGAAAGACAGGGCACGAGGGTGTAACGCGATGGTAGGCATGGGGGGAGGTGTTCGTGTGTGCGCGCCCATGTACAACTGAGGACGGCAGGAGGTGCGCGACGGGAAGCAGCTCTGGAGGTCGGCGAATGGAAGCATCAAGGCCTCAGAGGGCAGGGCCAAGCTCGCAGAGAGCAACATGGTGACACTCGGGCATGCGTGGGTGTATTTTTAAGGGAGGGCTGTCCAACGTACCAGTCGCCTCCAACTCCTGCCCTACCCGCAACTCTATTGGCGTTCTGGCCAGCTGCAGCTGAGGCAAAGCTCGAGGGCAGATTGGTTGGCATTGTGGAATTATATGCTGGATGACACGTCGAGATCGAGGGTCCAGAGGGTTGGTAGCTTCGACTCCGGGGGATGTGGGAGCAGAAGTATCGAGAGCCACCGCGGGGACGGGACGGGTGTGCTGGTCAATGATGTAAAAGGTAAAAGTAGGGTAAGAAGTGGCCAGTAGCGTCGTGCTATGAGAACAGAAAAGATAGCGGGGGGTGATTGTATGCTGGGTCGCTACCGAGGGCGCGGGATTGCAAGCGGGGGGTGGGTGGTTGAGGTCGTGAAGGCGATGGGAATGGCAATGAAGGGTTTTCGAAATGCTGTCGTGACGTGAGGTCAAGCAACCTGGCTGAAAAATTCACAGAGGGTTTGCTTGAAAAGGGAAAATTAGAGGTCGGAAAGCGTAATCCCAGTCGCAGGGCGCCTACTGGCTGGTGGGTGGAGAGAGGTGGATGCCGGGGCTGGACCTAGCCAGCAGCCTGCCCTGCCCCCAACAGCCAGTAGCAGCCAGTGCCCGTCAGTGCCAGCCCAGTGGCCACCAGTGGTTCCCACCTCGCCCTAACAACCACCACCGGGTCCCTCGTCGTCGGTACCTGGGCCAGGGCAGTACCTCGTGCCAGCCCTTGTCCGCCCTGCCGCTCAAGTCACTCTCGATGCCAGCACAACAAACAGAACACGGCCACGGTCCACCACAACAGCCAGCACACAATGCTGAGGTCGCACAACAATAACACGGACCAGAGCTGCCCGGTTCCGCCGAGGATTAGCCTCATCCTGCCGTCGCCCCCAAAAGCAGAACACTTTCCTAGCTCCAGAGGTACCGCTGGCCCGGGAGTCATTGAGTGATTGTTAGTGAGTCACTCGGCATTTGTTTTGGATCTTATCAGCCACGGCTTGATTATCCAAGACGCGATGTGGCAAACAGTGGGAGGCGACTCGCGACGAGCCACAGCCACAGCCACCTGCCCTTCTAGTGGCCTTGAAAGTTACACACACAAACATTGCCGTGAATCCACTTATTCCAGAAAGATACACTAATCTTACTATTTATTTGTATGCAATGCGGTTGTCGCGACGCAACATTGCCCGAGGTAGGTTGGTCGCTAATTCTCGTGCATTTCACTTTTTATGGGGAGCAGAATAGACCCTCCCGAGAACAGAAGACAACAATTAATTCAAGTTGAAACATGACGCAGATAGTCCAACGGGTCATCTGTCAATGTTTTACTTTGCTAGAAGCACGATCAGTCGTGACTTTCACTGGCCCTTAGGATTATAGATTCTATACATACACGGGTGCATTCAGCTTGAGAAACTCATTCTTCTATTCTACTTATTCTATAGATATGACCAGAACTCAAAAGCAAGAGGCCAAATCTTCTCAAGAGATCCCCCGCAACACAGTCTAATTCGTGTTGCACGTTCCAGCTCATTTCGTTCCAACACACAATCAATATCCGAAGCATTCTAAGGACAATCGTTGCACCTCATGGACAATCTACTCGTAGTGATGAACTGATAATTCAAGAGAAGGCTCGATGGGAGGACTTTGTCCATCCGTTGAGTAGTAGGGTGGGATACGATCGATGCAAAAGCTTCAGTCGGATCTCAGGGTCTCATGGAGGGGTGCAATTGCAATTGCAAACGCAATGTCCGGTTTTGACTTCATCCTATTCGGGATTATCCGGTTTGGGAATACAACCCAATCTTGCTGCATTAAAAGACCAAAAGTCCCTAAAAATGCGTTGTTAGAACAAGTCCAAGAGCGAATTATCGTAATAACAGGAGCTAAGGAGAAGAGAGAGGATCCAAAACTCACACGTCTTGAATTGCGTGGTTGAGCAGAGAGATGACATTGAGCCAATAACCAACCGCATATAAACATCTGATCCCTCTCGATGTCACGAAGTCACTCGCAGTGTCAATGGGTCGGAACTGCCCAATGAAACACGTAACAATGTCGTTGAGAATCCCGAATGCGACTGTGATCAGGATGCACCACGAAAGGGCAAGAATGGCAACCGCACGGTAGTGCAGGGTTTGCGCGTACGTTGGTCTGTAGTATCCTGCCACAACGGGACCCAACGTGGCGAGACACTTACAAAGTACCTACTCAGACGATATATGAGCATGATAAATCAACTTCAACGAAGAGTCGCGGAAAATACGTACGATGGCCATCTGGAAGACCAGGATTCTTTGCTCCTGATAGTATCCTGGAACAAGCGCGCAAAAAAGCCCGATAAAGCCAAAGATGTACGAGCCCAGTCGGAGATAATCCATGTATGCATAGTCAGAGTCAGGAAACAACGAGTTGGAACCCATGGCAGTGCGTGCGCCAGATATGGCGGTGGATCGGCGAAGAATTGGACAAAGATGGCGAGAGTAATGTCGGGTTTGGTTCAGGCAATGATGTAGCTTGTGATTAAATCTGGTAGCTTAAAAGAGGCGCGCGTCGAGTGTGAAGGTCGCAGAGTTTTGGAGGTTGCGAGATCCGGGTGTCGAGTGGGAGAAAGTGGGAGAGAGAGGTGGGAGAGAAGTGGAAGAAAGGTGGGAGAGAAGTGAGAGAGAAGTGATAGAGAAAGTCAACGACAGACGGCCGCGGGCGGTCTGAAAGGCGAGTCCAACCCTCCCTACAATAATAGTGCCACTTTCCCATTACAATCCGTATCCGAGAAGCTCCTACCCTCAAGATTCGAGGTAGAAGGAGCATAAAGGGAAACTTTACCATCGCACCATAGAGGACTGCAATTGAATCAAAGCTCTGGCAGAAAGTGCATCTTGAACTTTCGATTCGCCCTATCAGCCGAGCGGACCATCATTTGGTCGCCGAGAATGTCAAACATAAACTTCTTGTTCGACGGCTCGGCAGTAGCACCTGCCTGCGCCTCAGGAACCTCCACGGCAACTCGAAACGTAGTCCCTTCTTTGGGAACAACCTTGACGCCCTTTTTCTTTGTGATGATCTCCATGGTGAACTTGCGATCTCTCACAACAATCCCTGCTATGCCCACCCTGCTGGGGCATCTGCTCCGAACAACTTCCACGTTGGCTCCATGAAACTCTGCGCTGGCGAGCTTCGCCCCGACATTGGGTCCCACGTTGTACACATCGCCCCCCAGGATCTCGCAAATGTAACCCATCCATAGTTTATTGAGCGGCTCGTAAATTTCGTACTTTTGCCTGTCTCGCGGGATGTCGTAGAAGCCTAGCTTGCGCCGGTTGCGGGAGGACAGGGGTGCGGGCTTCTGCTTCTTCTTGTCCTTGGCCTGCTGCCGGGCTCTCCTGCGAGCTGCTCGCGCGTTTGTGACGGAAGGAGGAGGAGATGTCGGGCGGAGGTGGAGAGTGCGATGCTGGATTTTCTCTTTGTAGATGCGATCCACGGAGTCTGGCGAGTGCGCTCGAGCCAGGAGATCCCGGGTGGCTTTCTGTGCCGCGATGGACATTTTAGAGGTGATGAGTGGATTATTCAGAGACACCGTGACTATTTCATTAAATTGTCGGAGGGTGAAGCAGGCTTCCTTCCTCCGGTTGTCGTGGTGTTCTTGGGAGAGGCCGAAAAGTCGATGTAGAATTATTTCTTGCTGATTGCAGCTTGAACCCACTAAGCCACTGCACCGCTGCTAAGCTTCAGGGCCATCACATGCTAAAACCAGCCTAAGGTAGCGCTCGGTCCATCGGCCCCCCACACGCACTTCTGCGCGACAGTCCAGTGACGCTCTTGGGATCCTCCTCCACAGTCGCAGACCCATGCATACTCCAGACAATAATCATTGAATCCCAGAGCACCGCACACTTGCCGGGTTGTACATGGCCGAGGTGATGCAATGCTCTGGAATTCTGATCTATAACAAATGATTAGCTCGCCCTGCCGCCCTTGACCTCCTACCCAACGTTTCCAGCCCAAACACGCCTGCCGGTCAGCACAATGGCGCAGAGCGACGATCACCCCGACTCGAACACTACCTCGGCACCAGACCTCCAGATTCTCGGCGATGAGGTGACGCTCCAGCCCAGCGGCTTCCTCAGGCCAGATGGAGACGATAAGCATGGAGAGGAACGGGCGTTGATGAATCAATTTGCCTCCTTTCGCGCCGAACCATTACAGTGAGCGCCCCAGATCTCCTAGTCCCATCGAACACGTCGATTAATAGGCTTGCTTTTGTCAGATTCCTTCGCGAGGTGTCCCTTTACGTGTCCGGCCAAGGATGGCGCGCCTACGATCGCATCACCGGACAGCCCGTCTTCTACTCGGGCTTCTCCGATAACATGAAGTCCATGGTCCTCGAAACGCCCCTGCTCCAGAAGCGCATCGCAGAACTCGCCGATACCCGTGTCCGCGTGGAGGAAAAGGAGGGATTGATCGACGTCAATGCCGAGAACTACAAGTCGAAGCGCGCGCAGCGGTGCAGCGAGCTGGAGGCGGCCCTGCTCGAAGTGGCAGAGAAGCTGACCGATGAAATGATCTGCAAGATGGAGAGCAAGACATTCATCCGCGGCGCGTACTATCTCTGCACCCAGCTCCTTACCCGGGCCTACCATCAAGGCATTCACGTCTCGAGCGAGGAAATCCTGAGGCTCAAGAAGGTGGCAGAGTACGCTGCAAAGAAGAAGCAGAGCATTGTCTTCCTGCCGAGCCATCGCTCGCACGTTGACTATGTTTCTTTGCAATTGATATGCTACCGCCTCGGGCTTACGCTCCCAGTCGTTGTTGCTGGCGACAACCTCAATTTCCCCGTCGTGGGCAGCTTCCTCCAACATGCAGGGGCAATGTGGATCAGGAGGTCTTTTGGTGATGATGCGCTCTACGGCACACTCGTTCAATCATACATCGACACATTGCTTCAGGAAGGGTTCAACTTCGAATGCTTCATTGAAGGCGGCCGTTCGCGTACCGGCAAGCTTCTCCCTCCCAAGTTCGGCATCCTAAGCTTTGTCCTTGACAGCATTCTGTCTGGCAGAGTCGAGGATGCGATCATCTGTCCTGTCAGCACGCAGTACGACAAGGTCATCGAAACAGAGGGTTACGTTACTGAGCTGCTAGGGGTTCCGAAAAAGAAGGAAAATCTCGCAGACTTTCTGTCTGGCGGCTCCTCGGTTCTCTCTCTCAAGCTTGGCCGAGTCGACGTCCGATTCAACGAGCCATGGAGCTTGCGAAAATTCATCGATGATCAGCTATCAAGGCTACCCGTCGTCCCTGCTGGGCTCGACACCGACCATCACAACCCGCAGGTCAGGAAGGCCCGTGAGAAAATCCTGCGAACTTTGGGATACAAAGTTCTGGGAGACATCAATGAAGTATCTGTCGTCATGCCTACTGCTCTTATCGGCACCGTTCTGCTGACCCTTCGTGGCCGCGGTGTGGGAAAAGCGGAATTGGTACGAAGGATTGAGTGGCTCACAGATCGTGTCCGCGCCAAGGGCGGCAGAGTTGCTCACTCGGCCAATGTCCCCTTGTCGGAAGTCATGGAGCGTGGCCTCGAGGTTCTTGGAAAGGACCTTGTAGGCGTCGTGGAGGGGCTTCCTGAACCCACCTTTTATGCCGTCGATCGATTCCAGTTGTCATTCTATCGCAATATGACAATCCATCTCTTTATTTACGAGGCTCTCGTCAGTGCTGCCTTGTACACAAAGGTTAAACTCGGAGGCGGCCCGACAATGCAAAGCATCCCCTACGAGGACCTCAGAGCCCAGGTTCTCTTCCTCTCGTCGCTTTTCCGTGGAGAGTTTATCTTCTCGGGAGAGGGCCTAGAACGCAACTTGGAGAAGACCTTGCTTGGCTTAGAGACTGACAAGGTCATGCGGCTTGATCGTGACGAGCATGGGAATATCACGACAATAGGGCTCTCCGACCAAGAGCGCAGTGTTGGGCGAGAGAATTACGACTTTTACTGCTTCCTGATCTGGCCCTTCATCGAAGCTAGTTGGTTAGCTGCAGTGTCTCTGATCGGATTGACCCCTCCAGAAGGCAAGACCGACATCTGGATTGAAATGAGTAAAGCTCAGGACACCGCACAGACAGTAAGTAATCCGCCTTCCGTACCAAGAGTTTTCATATCTCATTGTGCTAACCATTACCTTGCAGCTGGGTAAAACACTATATCATCAAGGGGATCTGTCCTACTTTGAAGCCGTCAACAAGGAGACTCTGCGCAACTCGTATGTCCGATTCGAGCAGGAACAGATGGTCCACGTTGTGCGAAGCAAAGACGCCAAGGTCCCTCCCCGTATTCAATTAGATCCTACCTGGCGACCTCCTCGGGACCCTACCACCGGCAAGGTCCAGGCAAGTGGGAAACTCTGGGAGTTTACCGAAAAGATTGCCAGCTCACGTCGCGAGGGCAAGAACCGTCGTGATGGGGCCACGGTCAGCAGCCGGGTGCTCAGGCTCACAGACATCCTAGGTCAGAAGATGTTTGATGAGGCCGAGGCCGGCGAGCGCAGTGGGAAGGGCAAAGCCCCGACCCGGCTCAGCAAGGACGAAGAAGAGACGCTCAGCCGGGCGAAGAGGGAGGCACGAAGAAGAAGGAAGCTAGAAGCGCGTCCAAACTTGTAAGAATATTTGTTTATATTATCTATTTTATCAGCGTAGTCTATATTTTAAAAACCTCGATGAAGAACCGGGGAACTCGCTATATCCCAAACCTATATAGTATCATAGCTTTTTGTTATCCTTTTGTTTGCCGGTCTTTAGAATGTCTCAATATACGCAGAATATCTTTTCGCAAAGATATGACATTTTATGTCTCTACTCTTTTGAATATTCGGTCTTTGGCTTCAGAATGATGTTATCAATCAGACGTACGGCCGGGCCGCCTCCGAAGCCGACATCCTCGTCTTCGGCCGCTTTCTCCACGGGAAGCATCTTGATCGCACCGCTCAAGACGGCTCCCTTTTCTGGGTCGACCTGATCCACCTCCATCATGGTCTCAGGGTCAGCCAGCGAGATGTAATCCACCTCGAATAACGCCCTCTTCTCCTCGGGGAGCTCGTCCTGAGTCGCCCGCACACCCTCGGCAACGCGCCGTGCCGCCCCCAGCAGCGTCTCACGGTCGTACTTCTCGCCATTTCGATACAGAGCCTCGGCGGCGCTGAGCGACCGGTACAGCACCGTCGCGATCTCCCGTCTACGTGTCCCCAGATACACATTCCGCGAGCTGAGCGCAAGACCGTCCTTGGGATCTCTCTCCGTCGGGCATACGACCACCTCGGTCGGGACCATCAGGTCGGTGACCATGCGGCGGATGACGGCCGTCTGCTGCACGTCCTTCTGCCCAAAGTACACCCTGGTCGGCTGCACGATGTTGAACAGCTTCATGCACACC